ACCACATAGAGGAAAATCTCTTTGTTCCAGGACAATTCCTCCTGCTTTTGTCATTAGGATGCTTTTGATGCTAATGTAATCTCCAGATTAGTTGTCTGTCCACAGCAAGAAGTCCACGAACCTGAGAGATTACCTGACATTACCTTTATGTGAGTGTGCTTTCCTGCTGGTACTGCACACACCCAGCCTGCCTCAGAAGTCATTATCCAGGATTTCTAGGCTGGATTTCTAGGGCAGAGAAAGAGATTTCTGCTTGTAACCAGGTGCCTGCAGCAAGTGTTTATTTGTTTCATGATGTGGCATGATTGTCTTGTGTCCAGCACAAACCTCTGCTGCAGTGTAAAGCAAAGCAAGGCAGGTAGTCCCATCTCTGATAGCATTGAAACAGGAGATATCTGGAGCCAGGGATTTTGGACACCCAGAATTAGCTTGGTGTGAAGGACCTTTTACAATAGATACGTTCCCAATGGGAGGCTCTTCCACCACTAGCTGTGACAACCCTAGAGAAGCAGTTATTGGTCCGTGATGGCTACGGTGTGTGACCTGTGGGGTCTGTCTGAAAGCATCTTGGAGAGATGAGTGGCAAGTCCCTGTTACCATCAATAAGGACCTTGGAGAAATATACACCCTGATGAAAACTTGCAGAAAGTTCTGTTGGGTCTACTTGGACGCTTTCTAAATAATAACTGGCTTGATTCAGCCCTCCCCTTCCCACGTTGACACAGATTGTGCCGTTTGATGGGGACATGCAGATCTTTGCGTTTCCCATTGGTGCAAAGCTGCAAGCTGGCAACCAAACTCCACAGATGGCTGAGCATCATGCCTTGGGCTGTTGAATGAGCTTTCTCTGGCCAAAGGTGCTGGGGGCTGTGGCATCAGGACATCGTGCCACCCTTGGTCTGCTGTGGAAAGGCTTGTCTGGCTTTGGAAAAACAGCACGCAGCTATTCCTGCCCCTGCATGCCTCAGTGAGACCGTGGGTCCTGGGTTACTGAGTGTGACTCTGAGATAGGTATGGAGGTGTCTCAGCCCTGGGAGGATGGCTGTGGTCCCACTGCTGAGCCTGAGCCTGCCTTCATCTCGCTAGGAAGGTGGCGATGTGACCACTGCTCCCAGATGTGCTCTTGCTCCTAGAAAAAAACTACCTTCCTGCTTCTGTCTCCCTGCCAGGCAGACCTGGATTGTGTTATTTTCGCACCATTTCATGAGTACGAAGGCCACCGGTGAGTAGTTGTGGGCCAGGAGGACAGTGTGGACACCCTCCATGCTCATCACTTGTCCTGCTGGTCTTGCATAGGGGCCTCTCAAGGTTTGTGGATCCTGTCGATCTCCTCATATTGCTTTTGTGTGAGTGGATAGTCAGTAAGTATTTAAAGTAGTTCTCGCCTTCTTCAGCTCTTCAGATTGTGAGGTGAGCTGAAGCAGGGTGATAACACAGACCCTGAGGTCTTTCGGGCTGCAGAAAGGTGGACTCGTATCTGAAAGGTCAAGTAAAGCACCAGGATTGCTGCACTGACACACAGCGAAATGTTGTGTGGCCCCATCTGGAGCGCTTTACCCTTGCAGGAAAAACAGAGGTGACTTCAGTATTAGCAGCTGGAGATCCCAGCTGGGTTCCCAGCTAGGCATCGCCCAAGAACACACAGCGAAGCGTTTGTGGGCTCGGGGTGACTGTCGGGTAGACAAAGGAGGAAGAGGGGAGTGGATCGGCACATCAGTGACATGCCCCAGGTCACGCAGGTGAGGTGGGAACAGGAGCCTCAGCCACCTGCCCTGATTTCCCAGCCAGGTCTCTGTCTGCAGGTCCTGCTGCCTTTCTAGCAAAGGAGAGGAACGGATTTGGAAGAACCAGTGATTTTGTATTTTAGAGATTATAGAGATTTATATTATTTACTTTTCAAGTAAAATCCAATAGGTATTTTTGCGATGGGTTTTTGGTTTGTTTTGTTGTTTTGTTTTTAAAATGATAAAGAGTAGAGAAGTAGGTAAAAGTAGAAAACTCCATTTTCAGGTGGCTTTTTTTTAAGGTTTTCACCTTTTCAGGCACTGTTTCCTGTAAAAATTCATCCAAGTGTCATAAGTGGGTGAAAAAGCAGAGGGAGTCAAAAGTTTGAGACAAAATGTTTTATTTTAAATTGACTGAAATATGTTGTTGCGTTTCAGATGAAATTCCCCCTTTTTGTTTTGACAGAAAAATTGAAAAGGTAAAAAAATTCTTTTCAATTTTCCCTCAAAGGCTCCTCTTCATCTTCACTTCCCCCCACAACCATCAGAGTTCAACCAGAGCAAAACCACCGTTCCTGACATGGTTTTGCTTTGTAGAGATCAAAGCCATGAGGAGAACGAATCAGTGTGTTAAAACAAATATACTGTCTTCTATCTAGATCTAGCATCCTGCCTGCTAAGAAAAGCCACGATAAAGTACATGGAGGGAGAATGGTTTCAGATCTCCGAGTGCACTAGCAGGGCATTAGAGAAGTGTGCAAGATGTACAATGACTCTTTACCAACAAATTGATTCAGGGCCTTCACAGTATGGGACGGACAGGAGAAAAAAAATGCATTCAACAGACAGACGCAATGTTAGCTTTAGGAGACACTCACGTACTGTGGGAGAATTGTGTCAGGAACAGCTATACGATTTTCTTCGTGGTTTTTTTTTTTTATTTTTTGCTAATATGAAACCCCTTGTTATTACCATGGGCTGCAGAAGAGGATGGCTATTCTGTGGAAATGACTCTTTGATAATCATTTTCCAAGCGTGAACACGCTGCTTTGCCTCTCTCTTTTGTTGCAGGGGGAATGTGGGGAACGTTTCATGTTGGGAGAGTTTATCAGAGCCTTCCTGATTGTTGCTGGAGCAGCATCAGGTCACTGGAGGAGAAGGTGCCCAAGTGCTAGCAGTCATCAGCCTTTTCGTACCAAAATGCCTTGGACTCAGACCTCCCAAAGTTGTCATGTTGGGAGGAAGGCATGAGAGATGTGCAGACAGAAAGACCTCTCTTCTCCTGAACCCCAGGCCTTTTTTGGTCTCTGTGGTCTAAATCATTGGTGACTTTTGCAGTTCTTGCCCCGGATATCTTAAGCCAAGCAGTAGGTTGCAACAGGTGGTGCTGGGTTTTTTTGTGTGATCGGGGTAGGTTTTCCCGCGCACTGGAAATGTGATTTGGACACAGTTCTCGTTCAGTGGAAGAGAAAATGTTGTTGCTGTGATTGTAACGACACTGATTTTTAATCTGCTGTATTATTTTCATGCAAGAGCGGTCTGTAAGTGTGTGAGAAACTAGAAGAAAGAGAAGCAGAAGGCCCTACACAGCCATGAATTAATGCCAAAAGAGGCTGGATGCTGGACATGTGGCGAGAATGCGATCTGTGACAATACGTGAAGTTGTAAGTGCCATGCTTTTGCATGCAGTACTGAGAATTTAACAGCCGGTACCCAGCAGTCGGGTCATCACGTTTTGCAATATGCTGCCTCTAAAGATCTTCCTTTTGGGTACCGCTTAATCCCACTTTACCCAAGACAGGCGGGCTGTCAGATCTGCGCAGAACAGAAGGGAGAAAGGAAAACAAAGTAAAGACATACCGCGTGAATTTAAAACCGTTTAAATTAGAGTTTAACAAGTCAACTATTCAACCTCTCTCTCTCAAAAAAAAAAAAAAAAAAAAAAAAAGCACCCTCATTCATTTAGATCTTTCCAAGTGGAGCTCTTCAGAAATATTAGTTAACTGGAAGCCTGGAGAAAGAGGCAATACCTATGAGAGACATCGTTTATCTATTAAAGGTGGGGGTAGCTGGAAAATAAAGTATAAATGTTCTCTGTAGTCAAGAGAGCTATGATCAGTGGTATATCAGGATTCATTTTCCCAGTCATGTAGCTAATCGAAATCAACAGGAAAGGAGAAGAGAGTTAATTAACTTTTCCTCTAAAGTAAACTGATTGCTTTTTCCCTGTAGGCTTTGTCCCTTTGACACTTCCCTGTGAAATGAAAAAGGAATATTCTTTTGCAATGACTTTTCTCTACTTATTCTGAACTTTTTGAAGGTTGATATGCTTCAAGACCCATTTCCAAAAAGTGACAAAATCCAAAGGAACTTATACTGCAAAGGGACAGAGTTAGAAAGGGATTTAATTACCTTATAATGCAAAGTGCCAAGAACTACCAAAAATCCCCCTCTGCTCCTCCCTGCACTGCTAAGTAACACAAGACCTCTTGCTTTCTATCCAAGACTTGACCCCCTGTTACTTGGGCAATTTCCCATCTTCACCATACAGTGGACTGATGAAGTGACGTATTCTGGTGGAAGCAAGCACAAAGTTCAGTCCCACCTAAGTCAGGTGTGAGTACAAGCTAAGCAGAAAACAGAATGACAGTCCTTCACTTTGAAATAGAAATAATTATATAAGAATGTAAATTGCAAACAGGCATTTATTCCCCTATACTTTGAAACAAACCTGAAATTTGAGTGCACTGTCTTGTTTATCCTGGTTCTCAGTGTTAAACTGTAATATCTCTAAGAAAGTCTAGGTTACTTGAACATATGTATTTTTAAGAATGGGATTCCATTTATGTTCAAAGCCAAGTGTTTTTCTCAGTCAGGTACAAGCTAAAGAAAACTTGTAAAGAAAATAAAGGCTCCATCAGCTTGTGTTATAAAAGAACAACTTTGCACAGAATAAAAAAACCAATCTAAAAAGGTACTCTGAGAATAAACAAAATCTTTAATTTTATTTGTAAAAGGAACCATTCCCATGAGCTTAGTAAGTTGTTCTTTTGTTTGTTTTTTAAGGAAAAGATGCTCCTTCAAAGAAAGTTAGAAGAAAAGGTTGGATTTTTTTTTTCTATTGTGACATTACTGAGCTACTCTGTTTTGAAGGAAAGATGTATGTTGCCAGAGGTATTTGAATGTGACAAGTGGGTGTTCAAACGCAATTGGATCGATTTGCTCCCACTGGCAACTCAAAGCGGCGCTGCAGTCCCCGAAAATACAACCCTTCCTTTACTCACCACTTGTATTCCAGGTTGCCCGGTGTTGACTTCGCAAACCATCCTTCAGGCACTTCTCCACGTAGGATTTGGGATTGCACCCGGAGAGGAGAATCTCGCCAAGGAGTGCGATATAGGCGATGGCCAACCGGAGCGTGTCGATTTTGGAGAGCCGCTTCTCGTACGGGAAGGTCGGTACGTGACATCTGAGCTGGTCAAAGGCCGAGTTGATGTTGAGCATCCTCTTCCTCTCGCGGACGTTGGCGGCGTGCCGCTGGCGGGGG